CTTTATTTAGACCTCTAATGTAATGTAACACACCTCTTACTTACCCTAAATCTCGTTGGGCTGTGTTGCCTTAAGATATAAAAACCCTGTGGGTACAACAAAGGGACGATTGAAAATATTAGTATCTACCAAGTTTTTTCTCATCAAGTCCTCTTAAATCCATGGTACCTCCAGCCCCCACCCCTGCTGTTCTGGTCAGTTCTGACTGGCAGCAACCGGACACTTCCTGAAGCATGGAGTTATAATTGGGAGTGTTGGGCTGTTTTAAGTGCAGGAGGGGAATGGTTGTCATTGGAAGGTCTCATACTTGTAGTTCACTCTTTGATCATTTAAAAATTATTAAGTTGTGCATATATAATATAATTTAAAATTAAGAATTCCAGTGACAAGGCTGGATTTGCTGTGACAGTGGGGACTGGTTTGCCATTTAGGCATTTTCTGAAATGACCAGAAGTAGTGGCTTTAAGATTCTAGTGAAAATGTATTTAAAACGTGATTTAAAGAAATCATCTTATTGAAAAATAAATGTTGGGAATGGCCTGTAGAAATCAAGATTTTGATGACTTCAATCTTTTCAGCCTGGTTAAATGAGGTCTAAGAGATTCATCCATATAATTAACAGTCACTTGTAAGTCCCATAACGCCTTCTGGTACCCTTCCCAGAAATCTGAACAGGGCTGTGCCTCTAACGACGAGGCAACAAATGTCTGCCAGGTGGACGGCCGTCCAGTTATTCACTCCCAACAAAACGGCAAGAGGAACTCATTGAATTGTCAGCCACATGAACATGGAAACACATTTTGCTTAAAAAATAAAATTTGCTTTAAAAAATAAATAAATAAAATGTGCTGATTGCTTACAATGTGATTTTTGGCAAATAACTTGGGAAGTGTTCAAGAAATACAAGACATTGTCGTAAAATTCCTCCATTTCTATTTTTATATGATTAAAATTTCTCAGGAAGGATAAGGGGACTGACGCTGACACTCATTCTATCAGTTAATAACCAATCTTATTAATGATATGTTTAAATAGTTTCTTAAACTCATTTATAAAAGTATAAATGTACCTAGGTAGCTTTGACTAATTGTATTGAGAATCATAAGAAAAACCCAACACAGCAAAGTTTATTTTAAATTTCTTAGAGGCTATGGTCACAAGAACTAAAAAAAAATTTAAGTACAGCCTATAATTTTTTTTGTAGCAGAAATGTGTTTTAGGTGAGAGATCAATAAAATACATTAAAGTATAAAAACATGTATTAGCGTAAACTCTCTGAGCAGTAAAAAAGGGGAACTAACTATAAATGGAAGGAGAAAAAGAAATAAAGAAATATTTGACGTAGCCAAGAGGAGTTTTACTTAACATGTCGTTATTTACAATCTGCTGGGAATTGCATGATGTACAAGTGTGTAAGCGTTTGATGAAGAGCAGTGTTTTATGTTAACTTTAATAGAAGGTGGAAGGTAAGAATATAATTTTTCAAAACGATTTCTGAGAGCAAGGGAGCAAAAACATTTGAGGACCCCTGGGAGAAGTAGTCACTCGGCCTCCAGGAGAAGGGCCCGCGATGCCCGCACGATTCACAGTGCGCCCCCATTGGCGCCCTGCTGGTGGGGGTTCTGCATTGGATTGCTAAGGGGAAGGTCAGCAGCTCGAACCTACCAGCCACCTCTTGGAGATTGACACCGCCCCCCACCCCGAAACCCAATGGGGCAATCCTTTTCTGCCCTATAGGATCGCTATGAGCTGGAATCGCCTCAATGGGTTGGGTTGGGTTTGCGCCTTTGGGCCAAATGTGGGTGCATGGGGTCCAATTCGAGTAAGTAAACGTGCATCCCCTGCGAGCCCATGGTAGTCATCGACACTGACATGGTCGGGGGTGGGGGGGCCTGTGAGGGGTCCACTGCGCATCGCTGACCCGTCTGTTTTTCCCTCCCTTTCCAGTCGCTGCTCAGCATTCCCGGGTCCCCGTTCCTCTCCCGCCACAACAGCAGAAGCAGCATCTTCAGTTTCCGGGGCCCGGGGCGGTTCCGAGACCCCGGCTCGGAGAACGAGTTTGCGGACGACGAGCACAGCACGGTGGAGGAGAGCGAGGGCCGCCGCGACTCGCTCTTCATCCCGGCCCGCGCCCGCGAGCGGCGCAGCAGCTACAGCGGCTACAGCGGCTACAGCCAGGGCAGCCGCTCCTCGCGCATCTTCCCCAGCCTCCGGCGCAGCGTCAAGCGCAACAGCACGGTGGACTGCAACGGCGTGGTGTCCCTCATCGGCGGCCCGGGCTCCCATGTCGGCGGGCGTCTCCTGCCAGAGGTGAAAATAGATAAGGCAGCTACTGACGACAGTGTAAGGACGTCAACAACTAGATCCAGGCTAGGCATGGCCATCTCCCTCCCTGGTCCCTTCTCCTCTCCGCTCCTCTCCTGTCTTGCCCACTCCACCTCGCCTCTCTCTTCTCCATGGTTTGGTCCCCTCCCGGGTTATTTCCCTGTCCTCTTTCACAGCCCGCTCTTCCTCTCTCTTTCCCCCACCTTCCTGCCTTGTTTCTTACTGTTCGCCCTCCTCTCCATCAAACTCCTTCCTCCATTCTGGTCACTCGTTACTTCTCTGCATCGCTGCCCGCCCCCCTGCCTCCCCCCTCCCTCCTGCTTTGACTGACTGAATGCCCCTGGCCGGCGGATCCTGCCCCGATGAGATGAGAATGGCATCCTGCCAGCCGGTGACCCAGTCGCAGCGGGTGTGGAGCTACCTCCGCTTCTGGTGCCGCCCAACCCCTCGCCTCTCCTAGGGAAACAGCTTGGAATCGAAGCGTTCACCTTTCCAGTAAGGCGAAGTCGGCTCGTTTGGAACGGTTTTCTAAGCCTTCGCTGCAAGCAGATGTGGGTTTTCCAAAGAGGAGCGTGCCCGTGGTGCTGGGCTGGGAGGTGGGCACCTGGGAGAGCCAGGCGAGTTGCAGAGAAGGAAACCAGGGTGCAGCTTACATAGAGGATGGAAATGGAAGCAAATCGAAGGAGGAAACGGTGGGAAGTGGGGGCAAGAACACATGGTGTCTGGGGGAGGAAGGAAAGAGGAATTTTAAATGCAATCAAATGTCAGGCTTTGGAGGCGTCGCAGATAACAGCGTCATAAAATCACTTGTCTAGCAGGTTGAACAAGGGTTACCTCTTTGGAAAAGCTGCCTGGTAGTTTATTTAAATTCTAAGCTGTTTACGTCTTGTTTCTGTTTGAAATTCGGATAACCTCAGTGATCCTCACCCTTCCTACCTCTGATTCCTCGACTTCCCTCCGCCCCTCCTTAGCTGATAAAAGCTCCTTGAGATAGCATGTCAGTCTGTTTCCGTTCTAACACGGCAGTTTTCTCTAACACAGCATGAAGACGAGCAGCCTTTATCAGCATGGTGCATGCGTGGAGAGAAAGTGGACACGTGTGGAGGAAATCGTTGCGAATGCTGTTTTGAAAGCCTTTTAGAGCAGTTGTTGACTGACTGTAGAGATAAAAGTTCACAAGTCCGTTTGGAAGTTCTGTTTTCTCTCCCTGTTATTTTAGTTAAAAGCAAATAGGTTTTCTCCTTCACGTGCTGCAGTTTTTGACAAGTTAAAGACTACTTTTTGCATCCATGATTTAATTGGATCTGAATGAAAAAGTCAGGAAGGCCGACCAAATGGAGCAGATTATTCCCGTTTTTCGGATGAGGAAGCAGGCTCAGAGAACGTGTTGTGGTTGAAGTTGCTCAGCTCAGCAGTTGTAGAGCCAGAAACCAAATCACCTGTTTGTGAGTTGTTAATCTTCATGCCTTCTGCACACAGCGGCAGGGCCATTCCTTTTCTGTAGGACTGTTTATTTGAGACCATCAGCAGCAGTAGTAAACAGGGACCCGAAGGCCCTGCTGAAACCAGGTGCATGGCCAAAATAAGTGGCAGAGATGATTGCCTCTCAGTGTTTTCTCTGATTTCAATCGTTATGTGTCTAGGAGCACGTCTGGAGGTCCTACAAATAGATAGGTAATTGTATTCTCTGATCTAAGAAACAAAAACCAGAGGCAGCTCAAGGAAGAAGGGGTGCACCTCTCCCCACATGAACGTTCAGTGGAGCCTCTGAAATGTTGAGAACCCAATGGAATCTTGGTGTCCTGGCAGTTTCAAAAATATATCTATTTCAGCCAAGTACTACATCTTGCTTTTCCTCTAAAGAGGTGTGAGGGAAGGTGTCCGGGAAGGAGCTTGACCTTCAGCATAAGGCAGGTGATAAGTGAGTTTGGGGGTTTTGTGTCTTTTTTTTGGTGGTTTTGTTTTGATTTTAGTTGCTTCTGTTGTATTTTGTGGGAGAAAAAGTGGAGAGCTGGTTGAGCGATGACTATGGAATATAAGACTTTATATGCCTCCTTTCCTTGTTAGCCGGTGGGGCTCAGCCCTTGGGGGGCTTTGGGGGAGTGGGGCAGGGAAGACTGCTTACCCAATGCCACAGAAGCACTTGGGGGACCTCTGCCCTTGCTCTAAGTGGTGACTGTATTCGGGGCTACACAGGAAATAGAAAAGCAGTACTATAAATGCATGGAAACCTTTCTCAAACCAAAGTATCAAAATGCGAAGCTATTGTTTGCTGACATTGCCTCCATCTAAGTATATATGCTCCTGAGAGCAGCACGTCCAGCTCTCTAACCCGTCCCTGAATCGATCCTGCCCTCTCACTTTGTATCGTGGCAAAACAACAGGGTGGGCACCTGTGGGGGACTCAGATTGTGCCCCTTTTCAGTGTTCTTCGAGCTTGGGGAACAGCGAAGGCTGAAGGGCCACAGTCGTGGCTGTAGGGTGGATGAGCCCTTGCTGCCCTCGAAGAATAAACAGGCATGTTGCTGCCATGGGGAAAACTTCCCTGGCACAACCTGCTGGGTCTTTTTCTCACCAGTGCCATTTTCAGTTTTTTTCAAACTTCTTCTTGATAAGCCCTCATGACTGTCTTGTGTCCTCTGAGAAAATTCATCAAGGTCATCACCTGTTGAGGTAAAAATAACCTTCTGGGCTGACCCCTCTGCCTTTCACTCGTCTTTGAGATCTTTGCGACCTTCCTTAAAATGCGTGCTCAGCCTAAAACCACCATAAACTTGTTGCAAAGCTTCAGTGCTTTGGGAAGGTATCGCAGAGTTTGCATTTTCTTAGAAATTTCATATTAGCCCCAACCTCCAAATCGCCTTTTCCATAGCACGGAACCACCCTTCCGTGGATTTCAGACACGTTTAAACACCTTCTGTTAGGAATAAACCCATACTTATGATTAGCAGTACTTTCAACTCACCTTCGTCTCTCATTCCCTGGGGCCTCCATAACTAGGAAACGCCGTTTAATCAGCAGTTACAAGGAAGCACATTCTAATTGTTCATGGTGTTTCAAATGTCTTAGTTATATACTAGTAGACCCATTAGAACAAGGGGAAGTTGGATATATCGTTTGTGTGGTACGTCAACTATTAAAAGGTAAGTGCATAGAGGAACAAAAATGACTGTCTAAAAGTTACCAAAGGGTGGCCTTTGGAGGGAGAAATTTGCGTGCGTGTTTTCTACACTGGGTGTCACAGGAATGTTAGGTGCCACCGCGTGGATTCTGACTCGTCGCAGAGTAGAACTGCCCCAGTGGAGTCCCCGGCTGTGCTTTGTATGAGAGCGGGTTGCCGAGTCTTGTTCCCACAGAATCACTGGGTGGGTTTAAACTGCCCACCTTTCAGATAGCAATTGAATGCCTAACTTTGGCACCACCAGGGGTCCTTACAACAATAGCTACCAGATATGAAGTGCTTACTACACTGTAACAGGAGCCCTGGTGGCACAGTGGGTTAAACATTGGGCACTAACCAAAAGGTCGGCAGCTCGAACCCCCCATCTGCTCCAAGGAAGAAAAATGAGGCTGTCCACTTCTCCAAAGATTTACAGCCTTGGAAACCGTAGGGAAGCTCCAGTTCCATGCTGTCCTATAGGGTCGCCGTGAGTTGGAATTGACTGAAAAGCAGTGGATCTTTACATACACGGTCTCGTTTACATCTTAAAACCACCCTATATGAGAAGCCATCTTTATCCTTTTATTAAAAGATGAAATTCATAGCAGTTTAATGACTTGCGGTGATGGACCTTGAACCAACACCTTAGTGGTGCTGAGAACGTGCTGACAGCTGAAATATCATCTCTTTGGGGGAAAAAAGAGAAAGACAGCAGTGTATCTTAAGTTATTATGGTTCGTTGCCATCAAGGCACCGCCAACGCCTGGTATAACAGAACAAGAACTGCCAGGGCGTGCACCAGCTTCCTGCTCCCTGCATTGCCCAAACCCAGTGGTGTAGCCGCTGTGTATTTTGAGTGCCTTCTGAGCTAAAGCACTCATCTTCCGACATCAAATCAAATAATATGCTGTCAGGATCCCTAGAGGGCTTTCAGAAGTGAATCACCAGACCTTTTCTTCCCAGGCTGTCTTAGTCCCCAAGGAGCTGTCAAATTTTGTTCTCTTTGTACCTGTTTACAATGGGTGACCCTGCTGGTATTTGAAAAACCGATGGCATAGCTCCTGGTGTCATAGCAACACAAAAGTTACCGCAGTCCGACAAACTGTCAGGTTGTGGGCTTATAATTTTATATGTAACCCAGGCCAGATGAGCAATTAATACCTCTGAGCCAGGATTCAGTGATTCGGCTGCCACACCTTTGGGATTTTTCCATAGCCAAGCAGCTTCACACGGGAGTCAGATCCCGATTGCTACCTGTTCATTTGGTTCATTTGCCTTCCCCTGAGCCATTGGAATGCTTCCAGTGATAAATTCCCTGCTTCCTGATGTCGTAGACGAGCCCCATGCCGATCTCCCACGCTACTAAGGCTTAAGATAGGCCATAACTGTTTTTACTTCAAGCTGGAATTAAGACATGTATTTCACAGGGAAAAAAAGTCATTCAAACAGCAGCTCATTAGAATCTTATCCACACCTACTTCATACCTTCATTAAGTATTCAGTTACGGTTAAATAGTGGTTACATTTTTTTTTTCTTCCTCTTTGATACCTTGGGAAGTTTCAACTTTTGCCTTTGGCTAAGGCAGGACAGGAGCCCTGGTGGCATAGTGGTTATGTATTGGGCTGCAATCCACAAGGTCAGCAGTTTGAAACCACTAGCCCCTCCTCAAGAGAAAGATGGGGCTTTGTATTCCCGTAAAGAGTTACCGTCTCAGAAACTCATAGGGCAGCTCTACCCTGTCCTGTAGGGTCCCTGCGAGTCGGCATGGACTCTATGGCCAGGAGTTGTTGAGAATCGTAAGTGAGAACCATTGCTTTTCACTAA